TTGGTATTTTAAACAAAAATGAAAAAAGAAAGGTTATTAAACCGGCAGCACCGCTCCATTTGATTCTAAAGGAGTTCTAAAGCAATGAACGTAGGATTGCGTTGGCACACTCGGGAGCATAAACATCATTACATTCTTCTTCCAAATTCTAAAGCAAAACATTTTTAAAGGAAAAAGACAAACTCAAAGCTAAAGTTAGATACGCCATTGTCAGCCAAAGCAAACATATCCACACCAAAAAAACCCGGTGCATTCGGGTCGAGTCATTCCCACTTGTTCCTTGTTACTTGATACTCTGCCTCCCACTGCCACATTAGTAACCCCTTTCACTCTTTTCACTCGCTTCACATTCACACTCTCTCCCTTTCCCTTTCTGTGCTCAAGCCCCTCAGATCCAGGTTTGTTCTCTTCTCTTCCCTCTTCTATCTTGCGTTTGAATCTTTTTTTCTTTTTATTTATATTTTGGGTTTTAGTTCTCCATTTAGTTGGTTTTTATATGGGTAGTAACCATTTTATCTGCTTTTTGGGTGCTAAGGGAAAAAGCTAAAGTCTTGAACTTGATTTTTTGTTTGAAATCATATACTGGAAAACTCAGTTGAGCTTTATCTTGCTTTTGATTCTTTTATTGTTCTTCATGTACTTAGTTTGGATGTGTGAAGTAGCTATTTTCTCTGTTTTTTGGGTGCCAAGAGAAAAGTTGAAGTCTTCAGTTTTTTTTTTTTTTTTTTGAAATCTTAAAATGGGAAACTTGGTTGGGTTGAGCTAAGCAATCGGATTGCGTTTATCTGAAGAAGCTTTTTCTTCTCTCTTTTTTTGCTTTGCGAGATTTGGTTTTTGGAACCAAATGGAGGATGATATTATTTAGTTAATGGGAAGATGGGACTTTTGCTGATTTTTCTTTATTTATTTACTTTTGGAATCTTTTCATGCAATTTCTTCTTGTGGTGGCAATTAAATACAGGATTAAGTGAACATAAAACAACAAAAGAAGGTTAGATTGATTAGTATTTATCTGACTCTGTATTTTCTCAAGTGGATACCTGGAACTGGAAGAGTCCTAACTCATTGTGGAATGCAGTTTTCTACTATTTAGGGTTTTGAGAATCAAGGGTGGTAAATGGAAGAAATTCAATCCCAATCAGATAATTATAGGTCTTCCTCATCTTCTGCCAGTAGTCCTGCCAGTAGGGTGCCCTCCAGTAACTTTTTCTATTTCCGAAAACCCGGTTCTCTTAGACAACCTATCTCGTTTGAGGATTCACCTGAGTGGGAGGATACAGATATTGATGTTAGGGTGGAGGAGGGAGGTGATTCTATTAATGTTGCCACCACTCCAGCCTCGCCATCCCTTTCAAAACTCAATAATGGGTCCTTGCCATCCCCACACTTGCCAGAGGGTGCAGCTGTTGCGAGAAAGATTGCTGGGGCGTCGGTTGTGTGGAAAGACCTCACTATTACAATAAAGGGGAAAAGGAAATATTCTGATAAGGTTGTGAAGAACTCAAATGGTTATGCATTGCCTGGAACAATGACAGTGATCATGGGCCCAGCAAAATCGGGAAAATCCACACTACTTAGGGCTATTGCAGGTCTTGTGTCAAAATACTTATCAATCATTTATTTTTTAAGCCTCCACACTGTTTCTTTTGATATATTGAGGCTAAAATGTTGTTTTCTCTTGCACTTTAGGAAGATTACTGCCTTCAGCTAAAATGTATGGAGAAGTCTTTGTGAATGGGGTGAAATCACACATGCCATATGGTTCATATGTGAGTTCAGTAGCTTCTTTTTTCATGCAGTTTGAAATCACTCACTACTTTTTTCAGCTTTCATGTTTCAGTTTTGATAACAATTAATTCCTAATAAAATTTTGTCTTTGCTTTTAATTTATCAATGCAAATTGATGTGTTCTCTGAATTCTTTCCAGTTTTGATGCATTTTTTATTTTGTTTTATTTTTAATGCATTTTAAGTACAAACAATTATAACATGTCTAACTGGACTCCAAATAAACAGTTGATATGACCCTTGAAAAAACTATGCCTTAATAATTTTAAAAGTAATCCCTTTTAGTTTGATAGAAAGCTGATAGGCAGAGGAGAAGATAGAATTTATTTTTCTGCTCTTTTGGATTTGGAATGATGGGGTTTATGACTTTGAAAGTTTTCCCACACGCAGGGATTTGTTGACAGGGAAACAACTCTAATTGGTTCTCTCACTGTCCGGGAGTATCTGTACTACTCAGCTTTGCTTCAACTTCCTGGATTTTTCTGTCAGAAGAAAGGTGTGGTTGAGGAAGCCATCCATGCCATGTCCTTGGGTGATTATGCAAACAAGCTGATCGGTGGTCACTGTTATATGAAGGGCCTCCCGAGTGGTGAGAGAAGGCGTGTAAGCATTGCTCGGGAACTTGTGATGAGGCCACAAGTGTTATTTATTGATGAGCCTCTTTATCATCTTGACAGGTTGGTCTCATGTTTTCTTAACCTTGAATTTTTTTTGGAAGTTTTTGTTCGCTGCCTTTTTTATTGCAAAAGTTTAATATTTTATTTCAGTGTCTCTGCCCTTTTGATGATGGTCACATTGAAGAAACTTGCAAGTACAGGTTGCACTCTTCTTTTTACTATTTATCAAAGCAGCACAGAAGTGTTTGGCCTCTTTGATCGTATCTGTCTCCTTTCAAATGGAAATACCCTGTTTTTTGGGGAAACATTAGCTTGCTTGCAGGTAAGTGAAATTGAACTTCCTCATAAGATTTAAAATTGCTTTTCTTTCAAGTTCCATTCTACTGGTGGGTATTTCTAGGTTATACTAACTGAAAATCCCCTTTCTTGATGAAGCATTTCTCAAATGCTGGATTTCCTTGCCCAATCATGCAAAGTCCTTCTGATCACTTTCTACGGGCTATAAATACAGATTTTGACAGGATTATTGCAATGTGCAAAAATTGGCAGGTAAATGTTGAATATCACTCTCAGAATTTCAATTCAAAGATAGTCAAATAAAGTAGGTCCTGGGCCTCCTGGGACTGCTTTCAAATATGATTTGCATTCCCTAGCTTCTGCCCAATACGACTATCATTTCACCAGATAATGGCTCCTAACCTTCTTGTTTCTTTTGTTAATCTTAACTCATGGACTGAGACACTATGACAGGATGACCATGGGGATTTTTCCTCTGTGAATATGGACACTGCTGTTGCAATACGCACTCTTGAGGCCACATATAAATTGTCAGCTGATGCTACTGCAGTTGAAACTATGATATTGAGACTCACAGAGATGGTGGGGTATCTTTGCGTACTACTATTTGCTCCATTGATTGCAGTTGAATCTTGAACTATTTTGCATACATCATGGATGATCTAAGGACCTTGCGAGTCTGTCTAGATATATACTCTCTTGGTACATGGTTATGTAAGATACATTGACACCACGAATCTATTTTAATCTTTATTCACTTTGTTGCGTTCTACAGGAAGGTCCACTTCTCAAAAGCAAGGGAAAGGCTGGGAATGCCACACGAATTGCAGTGTTGACTTGGAGATCATTGTTGATTATGTCAAGGGAATGGAAATACTACTGGCTCCGTCTAATTCTTTATATGCTTCTTGTGCTATGTATTGGAACAGTATTTTCTGGCTTGGGCCATTCTTTGTCTTCAGTTGTGGTGAGTTGTTAAAACCATTTATCTGCTATATCAATTCAAATTCATTTCAGGAATTGTCACCTACCTTTAAGCATTTATTACAAACTCACTCATGAGCGTAAATCATCTACTTTGGTACTTCTTTTGTTGCAGACAAGAGTTGCGGCAGTCTTTGCATTTGTATCATTTACTTCACTTTTAAGCATTGCTGGAGCACCTGCACTGATGAAAGAAATCAAGGTAAATCCCAACTACCTCGTGTTTGCCTTGGTATCATTAGTTTTTTCGGTTCTATTTTAACTGCTTTCTTATTTTGCAGATATATGCAAGTGAAGAATCAAACAAGCATTCAGGAGCATTAGTCTTTTTATTTGGGCAACTCCTCTCCAGCATTCCATTTCTCTTCCTAATCTCCATATCATCGAGTCTCATCTTCTATTTCCTAATAGGATTGAGAGACGAGTTTAACTTGCTGATGTACTTTGTCCTAAATTTCTTCATGTGCCTCCTCGTAAATGAAGGACTAATGCTGGTTGTTGCTTATTTGTGGAAAGACGTATACTGCAGTGTCTTGACCCTTGTATGCATACAGGTAATAATTTCTACCATCTACCCAACAGTTTGATATTTATTGGTCCACTTCTGATTCCCTAGCTCCCGAGCTAACCTAACTGTCATGTTTATGATGTTACAGGTGGTAATGATGCTTGCTGCAGGCTATTTCAGAATCCGTAATCAGTTGTCCGTACCTTTTTGGATGTATCCAATATCATACATTGCTTTCCACACATATTCTATCCAGGTTCACATTTATGAAATCCTTTCCTTATGGGTTCCTTCTATCACACACACCAAAATTTTGAGTTGTTGATGCTTGATTGCCTAATTATGTTACAGGGACTTTTGGAGAATGAGTACCTAGGGACCTCCTTCGCGGTGGGGCAGGTGAGGACCATATCCGGGTTGGAGGCACTCCGCAGCGCATATGACATCTCTCCAGACAGCAATTCCAAGTGGGAGAACTTACTGGTTTTGTTTCTCATGACGGTTGGGTATCGTATTCTTGTGTTTATTTTGTTACATTTTGGTGTAAAGAAAAATAAATCCCTGCACAGACTCTGCCAGTGTAATCGTGAAACATCAACCTGAGATAAATGAATTCTCCTGTACCATCCACATCTTTAATGAATTTTTCTATTTTGGTCTTTCTCCTGCATTATATAATTTCATAAAAAGCTGGCACGCCGGAGTTGTTATTTTGATTCATTCAAAATCTCCCCGCAAAGGGCAAAGTCCATAATAAGACTCCCCTCTCATACACCCCAAAAACGCAAAACCGCACCTGTAGAGGTCGGTACTAACATGGGGATAAATTATTTTAATAAATTTTTTATATAATATTTTTATATATTATTAAATAAGTGTTTTGATTCATTCAAAATCTCCCCGCAAAGGGCA